ATCCCTTTATTTATATTTATGATATCTCTCTTGACAAGAGGGGGCTGACATATTGTAAATCCATTGAATTCATAGTTTTCACACTGATAAGAAAAAGTCGGTTGGTACCCTCCTCCTCATTATTTCATGTCATTTATTTCATTACTCAAAGTATTCTGCTGCTACAGCTACATTTAAATGATACACACTCATTTCTATCACTGCAAAATAAAGATTTACGTCAAGAGGACACTGTTTCAGACCTCCACCAATCGCTGGTGGCACACCTTAAGAAGTAGAAAGGAACTGTGATTCACCTAGAATTTTATTTCTCGGGCTTAGTTTTTGACAGCAATTTCTTTTCCTCCCTCTCAGCCAGCCGTCCATCTTCCATCTCATAATGATCCTCTCACATTAATATATGTAGGAAAGCAGAACAGGTCAACGTGAGTGGTTTAGCTAAATCACCGCTATGGCAAAGAAGTGAATAGGTTTTCTAGCCTGGAAAATGCTGGATTCTACCTTGCCAGCTTTAATCCTTACTTCTGCAGCCTCCAGTGAGTTCACATCTTCAGAATGCACTGGAGCAGAAGAAACGAGATGTTTCAATTGTAAACAATCCATAATCCAACACTTTACTTTCCCCAAGCCAGTTGTGATGGTAGTACCATAGCTTTGATTTCCAGATTCAAGACAGAATATAAAATTAAATATTAAAATATATTAGAATAATACTGAAATCATTTAACAATTAAAATCTAGCACAAGAAATTTGTATTGTTGTTTAGAGAATTAAGATCCAATATGACTGCCAAGGATCTACATTCTCTATCATATAAGTAACAAAAGAGATATTTATTGTGCATGTGCATGTTTGCTCAATGAATCTTTGGTTGTATGGTATCTTCAGTAGGGTGATGACTGAATGACTGAACAGAATTTCACGCTGCTATTCACATTAGTTTACAATACTCATTGAAACATTAAACAGAAACAAATAATCATCCAACTACCAAGTTATACTCACTTATGAATACCCCATAAGCTTTTTGAAAAGATACCAAGTTGGTGCCAACTAAACTTCTGGAGAGGGCTACAGCAAAGAATACCACAGAAAAATCCTATATCTTTCCCCCAAAGTTCTTACCTTTCACACATAAGTGGTACTCTTGACGAATGTATCTTTTCTTTTATGTATACTGAGAGTATTTGCACCACGACAAATTCCTTGTGTATCCAACCACACTTGGCCAATAAAGAATTCTATTCTATTCTACCAACATCCAGACAATTAAAAAATCAGTAAGGTGGAACATTTGAATAGCCAACAATAGAAATGTTACACAGTTAAGCTAATTTCTCTTTGTAATGCTATCACCTGGTCCTGAAAATTATAACGGCACTTATCACGTCTCCAATCTTCAATCTCTAGACTTGTTTTGACAAGATTCTGTGATTGCTGATATTTGCAGTTTAAAACTCAATACTTCCATGTTAATATAACATGGGAGGAGCATACTTTCTAGTAGAAACTTATAAATGACACAATCTATTCTCCTTTTACTTGGCATCCTTCAGATGTTTTGAGATTATATCATTTAATAATAATCATTAATGTCCTTGCTAACTGGATTTCTGGAAGTTTGTAATATTTCCTAATATCCTGAACAGAAATGTTCCAATGATACATTTTGGAACTAGAATTGAAATGAAATAGTTATGCTTGTTCTGAATAAGTAAGACATTTTATATTTTAATCATGAATATCACAACTCTTCAGGTGTTAATATATCAGTGTATCCCAGTATTTACCAGAAAATGAAAAAAAAAAAACCCTTCATGGATAGCTATCAAATGAATCAATTCTTTTCTGCAACAAGATACTTCATGATATTTCAACATTAAAAAAATCTGATATATGGTGTGTTGATAGATTAAATGACTGCTTGTATATATATATATGTATATATTCTATATAAAAGCAAGCTAATGGCCACCAAATATTTTGGATAGATTACTATCCCTGTGGCCAGCATGCACAATTGCATGGATTTGTCCAAACTATAAATACCAGTTTTTGTATCTGCTATAAGGAAAAGAACATAGATAAAAATGATAGTTGGTTATAAGTACATATGTTTTAGAAAAAAAATACAGGATATAAAATTACAGCATATTGGTGCTATGAATGATATAAAATTTTTAGCCATTTTAATATTATCAGGTAGATATAAGAATCTTTCCAATAATTTTTCAATAAAGAAAAAAGCCCTTTTCTTTTTTTCGGAAAGATTTGCTTCTGTTTTTATTGTACTCTGAACTGGGAATATTAATCATTTCCCTTTTAAGCAGATAAGCAACTACCTGAATGTAATAAAACATCTGAATAAATATAAATACACCACGTAGAATTAAACATGCATTTTGCCTGAGTCTGCACTACCATCTTGGTTTTTTTTTGTGAAATATGTAGGTATCGTGAGTTGTGAAACAAAATTTCTGTACAAAGAAGACATGGCATTTGAATCTTTTACAGCAAAAAAGGCGCTTTTCTGCCTGATTTTGTTTTGCTATATAATGCTGTTCAGATAGGCTTTAATAGTGCAATAGCTTGGATTTAGCCCATTCTAGAAGGAGGAGAAGCAGGGAAAGGAGGAAGGGATTTGTGTATATGTGTGTGTGTGTGTGTGTGTGTGTGTGTGTGTGTAGATGTCAGTGCATGCTATTGATTTGACTTTTTTTTTAATGTGAGTAAATAAACTGGTTGGCTTGAGAGTCGTGTAGCTTTGGATTCTGTATCTTTGAATCAGTAGCTTTTTCTGCTGATACAACCATTTTGTGCTTAGGTTAAAAAGATGAAAACATGTAGCTAACAATGACCTTGAAACGAACCATACGTTAATCCCAGAAGTGTTGGTGAGGTTGCCGAGTACAGATAGTCCTCTACTTACAACTGGTTGCTTAGTTATTGTACAAAGTTATGATAGACTCCCCAAAAACTACTTACAAAGTTTCCAAAGTTACAACGGCTGCACACGCCTTCCCCACAGTCATGTGATCATGCTTTGGGTGCTTGGTACCCAACTCATCTTTACCGCCATTTGCAATATCCCCCAGTCACAATACTGCAATTTGTGATTTTTTCTTTTACTGATTTCCGGCAAAAAAGAAAACTACCTATTGAGGAAAAATGATTTGCTTAATGACCATGGCATTCAGTTAACAACCCCCCCCCCAAAAAAAGATGTTTAAAAATTGTGTCCAGTCATGTGATCCCTCAAACTTACAACTGCAGCTTATAACCATATTTCTAGGCTCAATTATGGTCATAAATTGAAGGCTCTCTGTTTATATCCCACCATTGGTGGGATTCAAAATGTTTTACCACTGGTTCGGTGGGCATGGGTTGGTGGGCGCGCTTTGCGCATGTGCATTTGCACACACTTTGCGTACATGCGTGCGCCAAATGCGCACTTTGTGCAGATGCAAAGACATTTGCGCAGGCGCAGAGGCTTGTGCCGCGCAAAGGAGTTGCGCTTCAAAAACATAGGATAAATGTGAGTATGGGAGCCTCGGCGGGCAGGCGGGTGGGCCCAACAGCAGAGTGGCATAGAGAACCGGTTCGGTCTCCACTGCTTATTGCTGCTCCCGGCTTAGCCGAACCAGGCTGAACCGGTAGAATATCACCACTGTATCCCACCACAAGATTGTCATGGCCCCATTGGAGCCTGAGTCAGCAGAAGAGGATGAGCTGGAGCTGGGGCCAACGGAGATCGAGGGGGCAGCCTTGTTGGCTTTGGAGAAACACGGGGAGGAGCTAGATGAGGTAGCCTCAGGTCCCTTGGGCTTGGGATGCTTGCCAGCAGGAAAGAACGGGGGAAGAATGACTGAGAAATGGGGGGAAGAGTGGGCAGGCAGTGGAGATAAGCGATGAGGCTCAGACAACGAGCAAGGATTGGCCCTCCTGATCCATGAGCATGGAGAGTGGAGAGAAGGCAGGAATAGCGCAGGCCAACTCGATGACTCAGGACGAGAGCGCCCTGACCCTCTTCATAAGGCACACCTGAAGACTGAGACTTAAGGAGACGCTGTGGGGAGGGGTTTTTGTCAGAAACAAACACTGAATTCATGGAGTTTTGTGTGCTGTTGACGATGTCTGGAGTTCAGTGGACTTCTTGCCTAGTTCCTTTGCTTTGTGGACTCATTGCCTTGTTCCCTTGGCTCACTCCAGAGGCTGCTGGAGGGGTGTGCGTGAGCGTTTTGCTCTGGGACTTGCCATAAATGTGGGAAGTTTGGGGGAAAGTTGGAGCAACATAAGGGAGTTTGAACTATCAGCTGACTGTGTTGCCTCCATGACTTGTCTTGGGTCATCACACAAGATATGTTCTTCTCTTGTGATAACTCTTAGAACATCTTCCAGATTATGATATAATAAATGAAAAATAAATAGCAGACTAATGACATGAATGAGTGTCCTTGTGAAGCTTATGAACAAACATTTTAATTTTCCATTTCTTTTAAGGAATGGAAAGCAACTCAACTTCCTTGATTACATTGGATGGTGTTGCAGTGCCCATGCTCCCTCACCTTTGCTTTTTAGTCCTAATAATTTTAGTGTATCTTATCTTCTGCTACTTCCACTTAATTTTAATTGGCAATAAGAAGTTTTTTTCTCTGGATCATGCAGTCAAGAATATATGGTCGTTAGATGAAATCGATTATCACCAGTAGATACTTGAAAACTATAATTTCTTACCCTTGTGCAGAATTCATTTTGAGGATGAACAGTGGAAATCGAAAAGTCAGTGCATTGTGTATTAAAAAAATGTGTATCAAAATTAAGGCTATAATCCTATGTTGGGTGTTATTTCTGAACAGACATGCTTAGAAATGCATTGTAAATAATAATCTTGTTCATATTTTATTTATTGAATCTAGTACTGATATATATATATTTTTAAAGAGGACAATGTTCTTATTAATGGAATAAAAAATAATTTTCTTTATACTCCCATCTATAGCTGATCCATTGGAGTTGCCTCTTTTTGAATTGATACCATCACAGAAACAGGTGGTTTTTCATGGTGATCGCTTACCATTTCAGTGTACAGCAACATACCTCGACATTACAACACAGGTGCATTGGTATCATGATGGTCGCTTGGTTGAAACTGATGAGGAAAGAGGCATGTTTGTCGAGGAGACCATAATACATGACTGCTGTTTAATTACACGGTAATGTATTTTTATTTATGTATTTATATATGTGTGTTATATGAGTGCAATTGTTTATGATATGATAAGAGCCACATTGGTGCAGTGGTTAGAATGCAGTACTGCAGGCTACTTCTGCTGACTGCCGGATGCCAGCAGTTCAATCCTGACTGGCTCAAGGTTGACTCAGCCTTCCCTTCTTCCGAGGTTGGTAAAATGAGGACCCAGATTGTTGAGGGCAATATGCCGACTCTGTAAACTGCTTAGAGAGGGCTGTAAAAGCACTGCGAAGTTGTATATAAGTCTAAGTGCTAAGTGCTGTTGATATATGGTTTTAACGATCTGAATACTGGAACTTGAAAAGGTAGGTTTTCTATCAGTATGTTGTCTAAATTTTTTTTCTCATTTACTTACTTCCCTTCGTATTCAAATAAAATATGATGAAGCCAGTTTCTAGCGGGCGCAATGCATTTAATACAGGGAATTTTTTTGTTTAATTATTGAAATGTATTACAATATATATCAATAATATCAAATAAAACCAGTGGTCCATAATCCCTCTAGAGACCTATTGAAATGAATTTTCTTTGCTGTCTTAATGCAAAATCAGAAATATGGAAGATGGCAATCCTGCACTAGAGAAAGCATGTATATTCCTTGCTCGTCTTCAGACTGGCTCTCTCCAAATCCAGTTTAATCATAAAAGGGAAAATACTGATTTGTTTTTCCTCTCTGGGTGCTTACCTCAGTGTCTATGCTTTCTGTATGTAGCGTGTTTAATTAAGTAGTCAATAAAATATGTCCCAGATTTTGTATAGTGAATATTCAAATGCCCCACTGCCAGACTTTATAAATAAGTAATGGAATAATTCTGTTCTATTATAGAGTAATTCTATAATCCAATTTTGGGCAGGGTGTGCAGTAATTTTGCATGAATAACTGCAAGGGAAAGCCAGATTTTTTTCTCTCTCTGAATTATCTATTATGTCAGTTATGATGTTGGTTTTGGTTTATATTAATCTAACGATTTAGATTACAGATTGATCTATATTAATCTGGTTTCTAAAGCAATTATCTACAGCAATTATGACTCAGATTATCTGGTTAAAATTAACCATGGTATTAGAATACTATACAAACACTTTGCTCAGTACCTCTATAGATGCAGTAATCCACTGGTGGCTAGATAAAAATCAAAATTAATTAAAAAATAAATTAAAATTAAAAGGTAACTTAAAATATGCTTATTTTTCCATATTGTTTATTTATTTATACTACTGTACCATTTCTCCAGTAATGGTGTTTTGCCTGGAATATTAGTGGATAAAATAAACCAGTTATTTTGTTCTTCACAAATAAATTTTTCTCCACATTACTTACAAGTTTTAAAAATGTCTTTTAGCATTTGCTTTCTATGTGAGATATCTGAGAAGTGGCTAGGTTCAGTAGCAGTCCCTGCTAATAATTCTCAAAGCTATATGCATTAGCAGCAGCTAATATAAATTTGTTAAGATCCTGAATCATCATGGTTTATAAAGTTTCGATTGAATAATATGGTCTCAGAGCTATGAGGACCTACCAAGTTGTTTTAATTTATGTGTATTTCCTTCATATCAAATGGCGACTATCATATTCAGAACCCTTTTCAACTGTAGGACACTATAGTAATGAAGTGGAGATGCTGAATTATATTCTTTATTATATGGTAATTATATTTTGTAGTCTACAGAATTGATTTGATGCATGTTATAAAATGTCAAACATGGAACATACTTAACATTGCACAATGTTAACAAGAGAAATCAATTTGTGTAAAAAGATATGCTAGATTCCAACCTAATCACGTTTACAGTAGTCTAATTGAAACCAGTTCTTTTAAGCTTGACTAAGTTAAGCCTTCTGGGGTCAGTGGATCTATTCCAAGATCTTCTGCTAAGATCAAATCGAGATTCAGTTAATGATGATAATTTAATTGGTTCTGTCATCAACCAGTGCTTAAATTGCAGGGTTGTTACGCTGACCTTAATTCCATTTTTGGAGCTGCACATTTTATTAGTAACATAAACCTAAACTACTGAACTGCTGGGTGCCTGTGTAGATCATGAACAATGTAGTAAGGAACCTTTTTCCACTAACAATTTTTATTCAGTGGCAGAAGTTTTATCAGTTGTACCTCACGTCATCAGGTGCATAAGATACGATTCTAAAATATCCTCCCAGGTTGTTCATTTTGTGCTCTCTGTCCAATATTCCACAATGTTGACTAAATTTAGATATTTGTTTATTACTCAGTTAATAATATGATATAGAATAGAATAACAGAGTTGGAAGGGACCTTGTGGGTCTTCTAGTCCAACCGCCTGCCTAGGCAGGAAACCCTACACCACTTCAGACAAATGGTTATCCAACATCTTTTTTAAAATTTCCAGTGTTGGAGCATTCACAACTTCTGGTGGCAAGTTGTTCCACTGATTAATTGTTCTAACAGTCAGGAAATTTATCCTTAGTTCTAGGTTGCTTCTCTCCTTGATTAGTTTCCACCCATTGCTTCTTGAACAAATCATCAGAGAATATGGAGAATAGCTTGACTCCCTCTTCTTTGTGGCAGCTTCCTGAGATATTAGGGCACTGCTATCATGTTACCCCTAGTCCTTCTTTTCATCAAACTGGAGATACCAAGTTCCAGCAACCATTCTTTATATGCTTTAGCCTCCAGTCCCCTAATCTTCTTTGTTGCTTTTCTCTGCACTCTTTCTAGAGTCTCAACATCGTTTTTACATCATGGCGACCAAACTGAATGCAGTATTCCAAGTGTGGCCTTACCAAGGCATTATGAAGTGGTAGTAGCACTTCGCATGATCTTGATTCTATCCCTCTATTAATGCAGCCTAGAACTGTGTTGGCTTTTTTGGCAGCTGCTGCACACTCAGAGATCCTTTTCACAGTTAGTACTATTGTGTGAGGTACCACATATACTGTACCTGTGCATTTTGTTTTTCTTGCCTAAATGTAGAACCTTACTTTTTTTACCATATGTTCTAGTATACCATAATTATTACAGTATAATATGACATAACATAAATATTATATAAATATATTTTATATTTGTAAATATATACTATGCTATTATTTATAAATATAAAAATATAAATATATTTCATGTTACTTTATTGTACATATTCTTATTAATCTTTGGATCATATTATACTGGTCCCGTGTGTGTGTGTGTGTGTGTGTGTGTGTGTGTGTGTGTGTCTACAAGTAGTCCTCAATTTCCGTTCACAATTGAGCTGAAAATTTATGTTGTTAAGTGAGAAATTTGTTAAGTGAATTTTGTCCCATTTTATGACTTTTCTTGCCACATTTGTTAAGTGAATCACCACTGTTGTTAAATTAGTAACACCGTCGTTAAGTGAATCCAGCTTCCCCATTGACTTTGCTTGTGAGAAGGTCAGGAAAAGGAATCACACAACCTCGAATTCCTGCAAACTTCCTAAATGTGACTCAGTTGTCAAGCATCCGACCATCACATGACCAGGGAGATGCTGCAACAGTCATAAGTGTGAAAAATGGTCATAAGCTCCTTTTTTCAGTGCCATTGTAACTTTGAACGGTTCAGATGCTTTTATCCTGCAGTGGATAGACAATAGCTACAACGGTACACATACACACACACACACACACACACACACAAAATGGATCAGTATAGTGTGTGTGTGTGTGTGTGTGTGTGTGTGTGTGTGAGAGAGAGAGAGAGAGAGAGAGAGAGAGAGCACTGTGATTGGATATTGTACTGCATTTGGCTTTATGGCTGTAATAAGCAATTGTTGACTTCTTTATTACGGTGATTACATAAATAAATGTGATTAAATTACAATGGCTTGGGAATATGTAGGACAACCAGTTTACTCCTCTCTTGGTATTCCCTGTAGCTAGTTACCCTTATTTGTACTATACATGCAGGCATTTCAGGGGTGCTAACATTACACTTCAGAATTCTGCTGATTATTTTTAAAGCAATGGGTTATAATTCATAGTTCAAACTGATACATTATTATAGTGGTTTTGATATCTGAAAAAAATAACTCTGAAAAGCTCCAATTAGGAAGGTCTTTTCAGGCCACCGTTAACTGTATATATAATCTAATTTAACTTTTTCTTTTAGTGTTTTCATAGAAACTAGGGCAGTATTTACTGTAGACTTGATTGTTTAATACATATAGGCACTTTTTTATTCTTTCCAATTCAGTGGATTGTTGGAAAAAAATAATGTAAAGACTCTCGGGATTTAGTTTGCCTGTCTTTGCCTGTCTGCATCAGTAAGATAAATCAACAAGAAACAAAATAGAATGGGACCAAATTGAGGGTGGTAAAAGAAACTAGTCCCCTCTCCTAAAAAGTTTAAGTTTAAAAAATTGACAGAATCCATCCAGATGCTTCAGACAGAAAAAATTACATTTGCCCTCTCTTTAGAAAATGCAAATGAGCAGGAAGCATGGAATTCCATTGATGGCTTCATTGAGTGATAGTGAAACTATAATTGATGGCTTCATTGAGTGATAGTGAAACTATAACACGCATGTCAAAGGTGACTTGCCATGATGATTTGGGTGATATGACTGCATTCACTAATACCCGACTATTCTCCAAAGCTTGCCCCGTTCTTGTGCAATTTTTGGAAGCTGCAAAGGCCGCCCAAGAGAGAGTTGTATGTTTCTGAAATGCCACTTTTTGAATGGCAGCGGGCTGAAGTCAAAGCCTCTACTTCCTCATTGCTGACTCATTGCAACTGCTGAGTGCATTGTTTAAGGTGGTTTAGATGTGGGACTCCGAATTCCAGATGATATGTGCCTATCCAAAAAAGTAGAGTGTCCCTTTCTACGGTGCCATTTCTGGGATGCTCTAAACTTGTTTTGTCTACCAGGAAAAGACCTTTTGATTTCTGTTTATATCAGCAATTGTTCCAATGCTATATGTAAGTTAAATAACATCCCCAGCTTGTTTTTCTTTTATTATATTGT